GGGTCTGACCATAAGTACTATAAATGTCCAACCTACAAAACTATATCACATTCAAGAATGGTTATGAATATGAATCATACTAACAATACTAATAATCTCACCGAACCATTGTCATACCAGCAACGAGGTGATTTTTATCGATAAATCTGTCAAACGGGTCTTTGATTTCATTCAAAATCTACCAATTTAATTTTCATTCCTGTAGGTTCTTGCTTTTAATAAACTCATCACTTTCGATAGGTAATTTCTTTAAATTTCAACTTTTTGTTGGTGTTCGTGGATTGTTGTTTGCTGTTTTAATCTACTTAATGTGTAAGCACGCAAGTTGGATTGCATGTGCTAGATTACGGTTAAATGTAAACTTCCATTTTCTTTTATTCTTCGTTTTCTAATTATGAATTGATTTCAACACTTTCATAATTTACTTCTTTTTCATTAGACTTATTGGTTTTAGTAGATTTTATTGTTTTTGAACAACTTTGAAGAACCCCTTGACCTTAGTGCGCGTGTCTTCTATGAGACCGCCACATTATCTCTTCTTGTGTTTTGATATAACAAATTGGTCCATAGAATTGAAATTTGAGCACAACCGATTAGAATTATCAACTTATGAGCTTTAGTTCCTATTTTAATTTCATGCTCTTAATATTTTTTCCATTTATATTAACAACTATGAGCTTCTTTGTTCATTATTTGTGTTCTTGCTTTGATCCATTTGTATAACATTGATTTTGTACAAAAATGCTATCAAGTTTACTCATAAAGGGAAGATTTAGATAACATTTGTTGATATTAATGTTAAACAACTTTTATATTCTTGAATTTTAGAAGAGTTGCTCGTTTGTTCATTAAAGATAACATGTTATTAGTTTGGGTTGTTCAAATAACATTTGTATTAAGAGTTTGATCACTCGACTTTATCTATAAATTACTATGACATTTTTGGTCCGTGATACATACATGAATTGGACAAGTGACAATCATCATTATTTATATAAACTAAGAACTCGTCACGATATTGCTTTCACAAAGATATATCTAATGTGTCAAATCATCACGAACCTAACTCAATTACTAATTGATTGGTTTGAGATTTTTAACCCGTTTAATTAAGGCGTGTTTGGCACGGAACGTTTGAGAGCTTCTAGTTACTAACGTTTGACAAAACGCTTTGTTTTGAACAGAAAGTCTTGTTTGGCACTACAAGCTTCTAACTTTTAGTTTAAACAAAACGCTACAAATTCAAATGCTACCTCACGTAACATTTAACAAAAAGCTACCTGCTACAAGATATTCGCTACGTGCTACAAGATATTCGCTATCTGCTACAAGTTACCCGCTACCAGCTAGTTTGCCGAACACACCATAAATAAGTCAAAGATGTTTAACACATTTAATTAAATTGACTGAATTATAACTGATATTTTTAATTTTGTTTCAAACATGTTTAAGAAATGTTTAAGAATGTTATTCAATTTTATTTAATATTTATGAAATATTAATATCTAATAACTAATATTTAATTATGTTATCTTTATTTGCGGTTGTATTTTTTTTTTCAAACTTGACAATCATTGAATTTTTTCCTTTTTTTTAATTGGGATGCAATTTCAACCCATTTAATAAATGAATTGGGTTAGGTTGAGAATCACACTTGGGAGAAACCCTAAAAGTTCACGGGCTTGGTCTACAACAGATTAGGGGTGGCAACTCTCGACCCAACCCGTAACCCGATGCTGACCCAACCCGAAAATAGACGGGTTTGGGTTGAGATTTTTGACCCGCCAACCCGTTTATTTCATGGGTTGGGTTGGGTTATCTGTTTGGGTTCGTGGGTCAACCCGCCAACCCGTATGTATATATATATATATATATATATATAATATATATATATATATATATATATATATATATATTTCATTTAAAAAACGATATATTTAATTATTAATGAAATTTGACTTCCATCCGTATTCGTAATATTATGTATCATTGTATTCCTTCCGTATTCGTATGTGACAAATCTGCATTTGCGGTTCGTTAATCAGAAAAAGAAAAAATACATGTCGTTATTTTCACAAGTCACGAACGAAGAACACATCCACTTTCTATGAATGTTTTCATTTATTCATTTTTATTTGGATGTTATTGACTTTATGAATTTATGTTTGAAACCCTTTTTTTATGTTAATTACTTTAATCGTTTTATGAATTTATGTTGAAAAAACCTCATTTTTTAAAACGTGTTGTTTATTTATTAAACGGGTTATATGGGTTGGATTTGACCCATTAACTTATGAACCAACGAACCCATATACTTAAACGGGTTATATGGGTTGGGTTGGGTTGAGGTTTCCAACCCACCAACCCGTGACTTGCCAACCCGTCAACCCATATATTATATGGGTTGGGTTGAGTTTATGTTTTCTGACCCGCCAACCCGAACTCAACCCAATTGCCAGACCTACAACAGATGTCACGTCGCGGACATACCCTTGCCACGACGTGGCACTCAAGATAATGCACGTTTTTCAGAAGCATGCCACGTCGTGGCACTCCATGCGCCACACTGTGGCATATGGTTTTTCCTCCAAAAAAATCATGCATTTGATTCCACTATGTCATCCACTGATCCATTCTGAGAAACGGATATTACATTACGTTAGATTATGGGCCAGAATATCCATCGATAATTTGTATAAATTCAATGATCACCTATAAAATATTTTCCAAAATATGTGATTTTAACCATATTATCTAGCGTACAATAAAACCAATTTAGGATAATCAAGAAAAATGCAATATAGATTTCAAGCAAAATCTAAGATTCAAACACAAAATATCTTGCTTTGTCTTTTATGTTTCATTGAGACATAAACTTTTCCTTATAAAGATAAGAGAAGAAAATGATATTTGCAACAACCAAATTTTATACTAATAAAGAGACTAGATAGTTAAATTCAGTTATTTTTTGTGGGACGTTGTGTTTGTCCCAACAGACACGACAATTGGGTTTTAGCGGGAGAATTTAACAAATATATATATATATATATATATATATATATATATATATATATATATATGCATCTTGTTTCGGGTTTTGGCAATGTTGCCACCAAGAGGCTCTGCTCTTTGGACCAAACCAGATGTGCTACCCCGGACCCTATGTTCCCGAAGTCATTTTAGTTTATCAGAACGTGCACTCCGTACCTCCATGCTTGCATTATAGCTAAAGTTGAACTCTGCTTATCTCAAATCAATCTCGATCATACTAAATGGCTTCATAACACTTAATCACCAACAATGTGTATGTTGAAATCAACAAGCAATCAAGCATGTTTTCATGTATTGTTCCTTCACTAGATCACTTTGAATCAATGTTTGGTGGAACATCAATTGTACTTCTTTATCCGATATTCGTCGGTTTTCGAGGATGGTAGTCCCGGTGAAATCTTAGTCATTTTTATAAACAATATTTCGTTGTATTAGGTGCAAACTATGTTTTGGTTTATCATTATGGTTCACTAAAAAACTTCGAAGCACATCTCTTCTTGATGATGTCAAGCTTCTTTCGTCTGTATGGATTTCAAATAGATGCCAATGGTTATCGACTATTATAATTGGCTTTTGCAGCCCTCTTGTTTAGAATCTTTTTTTAGCCTATAGCAAGTCTTTAATTAATTTATTTGTCATTCAAAAAAGAGTTCAGTTCCGTAAGTGTAATTAACACCCCTTAAATTCCTTACTTTAACAGGGGCGGTTCCGCTATGGTGCTATATTGGCACCGACAACCCCTGTTTTTTAGGGTTTTTTCGGACGTAGTGTTCAATTTTTTGTATTTTTCGTTTTTTCTACTCTTGTGTCACTATGTATAAAAAAATGTGTCTTTTGCAACACATACTATATGAAATCCCGCGTCGGCCCTCTACTTGAAACTTTTCTTTTTCTTCGACAGGAGGGGTTAGTTGCACCACCATGGTTGCAAAAAATTAGTCAAACTCTATCATTACGTAGTGCTCCGATGTTCATAGCGTATACAATATTTTTGTAATTTACTCACGTATCTGTGTTTTTTAACTTTCAGAGCAATACTTTCAAGATTGACTTAAGAGTAAACTTCTCATAATACTTATCATCACTCCTAAGAAAAATCAAAAATATAATTATGCTTTACCTTTACATTAATAAAATAAGAAAATATTTTATTACAATGAATCGCTTGTTGCCGTCATTCATACAATTAAAAATTAATTTCTTTTACTTTTAATAAAGTTACTGGCTGGCTCCATTCCGGACTTGGTTCATAGAGTCCGAGTCCATCATCACAAGTGAATTTGATTTGGGCCTTGTTTCTGTCTTTCCTATTAACTGCTTTCTTGATAAGGAATTACAATGACAAATTTTGTAAAATTGTAGGACTCGGAGAGAAAGAATTATTCTGACTTTCCGGATTAAGTCTTCTTTTCCGTATTAACATAAAGATAAAATACTTATATAACACTTGCAAAGTTTAATAACAGCTTGTTAAACTTCCAAAGTTTTTAAATTTACTATTAGCCAATGGAATTGTTTTATCTTAAAAATGAGTTGGATGCAAGATATAGCTACGTACTTCTATTGGTTGTTTACTATTGTGTTCTACTTTCATCATGACTTTCTGTGTTAAATAAAGAAAATACACTCGTATATAGCTTACGACATTAAACAACAGCTTGTTAAACATCAAAAGTCTTTAGATTAACAACTAGTGAATGGAATACTTTTTTCTTGAAAAAATGAGTGAATCGCAAGAAATAGCTACCTACTTTAATTGGTTGGTTATTTTATTGTCCTACTTTCATCATGACTTTCTGTATAAAATAAAGAAAATACAATCATATATAGAACGACAACTTGTTAAACATCAAAAGTCTTTAAATTTACAACTAGAAAATCGAATCGCTTTTTCTTGAAAAATATGAGTGAAACGCGAGAAATAGCTATGTATTGTGGTTGGTTGTTTATCATAGTGTTCTACTTTCTTCACTACTTTCTGTATTAAACAAAGAAAATACAATCATATAAAGCTTACTAGATTAAACAAAAGCTTGTTGAACATCAAAAGTCTTTAAATTTTCAAGTAGCAAATCAAATCGTTTTGCTGTTAAAATGAGTTAAAACTTAAAAGCAAGAAATACCTATTTACTTTCATTAATTTGTTTATTATAGTGTTCTACTTAAGTACATTATGAATTTCCGTATTATGTCTTCTTTTTCATTGATTTGTTTATTATAATGTTTTATCCCTTTTACTTTGAAAAAATCACAAGAAAAAGAACCAAAGTAGATGATCAGATCTCACAAGAACTCGTCTCATGTAAGCAACCAATACAAGGCTGTGCTTTTATTTACAATTTTCAATTCAGGAAAAGTGACTACGAAGCTAAATGATTCAAACCAACAAAAATATTGCTTATTAGAAGTCACCATTTAGAATGCTATGCGGATAGAATAATAATTAGTCTTCTGAAACGACCACTGAGATCTCACCTTTATCAAGCATGTGGTAGAAGGATTTGGTCCTTCTGGTCAGGTCCTTATGGTACGTGTATTTCCATGCAGCACCACAAATGTAACCCAACACCATGCCAATACCTATTTCCTTGATGATCATTTTGGTAGTCCCAGGTGGAGCTCCAGCCATTTTTGTTTTCTTTTGATATAACCAACAATATCTGCACACATACAGTTTAGAACAACATCAAGATTTTATCACAAATAACTCAAGAAAAGCTAATCAATTTGTGATTAGATTAAATGACTTGATGTATCTTGAACAATATACATCGAAACAAATATTTTGTTACATCATCTACAAATATTATATATGCAGATTAACTTCACAACTTGTAAGATAATGCATTGAGGCTAACCCTAAATCATCCTGATTCCTACAAGCACAATCTCAGGTGCTTGGATAACAATATAAACTGCTCACCAGATGCGACATAGCAAAAACAAAGATATTGATGAGAGAGTTGGTACAAATATGGATTAATTAATCCTACTTTAGAAGTGATAAATTTAATGTTTGATTTTGAGAGTTTGGGAAGAAAACTCTCATCAGAATTTCAAGTACTTTTGCATATCTTTTAGACAATGATGTTATCAGTTTCGTGTATTGCTAATTAAATGATTGATACGATAGTACGATACGAAACTTGGATACAAATCCAATATTTATCATTAAACAAAACTATAGATAAATATGGTACGCATATATACTAACAAAAAGATTCAAATAAAATTCTAGGAAATAAGAAATCTTACCTGTTAGAACAAGACGCGGGAGGAATGCAAAGGTAGATTAAGGAACCCTAGGTTAATTGAACGAAAAAACAGAAATACAATACGATCAAAATAGATAGAACAAAAAGCAAATGATCATAATATGGGTGATCGAAATTAACAAGTTGATATGGGCCAAGAATCCTTTCAAGGAGCACCTTTGATGATGACCTGGTAGGGTAACAGAGAGTGTATGTAGGATTAGATTGAGGAAGACGGTTGGTTTAGTTGGCTGGTCTTATGCAAAAACAAAAAAGCAGTTGGAAATTTACTTAAATGGTCCCTTGAACTTTATCAAAACTTCAGTTATTATATACTTTCATTCACAGTTGGTCCATATATATAAGATAGTGTTGGGCCTGGGCTGGAGCTCGAGGCTGAATAAGAGTGTACCTTACAAGAAAAGTGCTCTTTAGAGATGACAAATATAATGTTTGTGGTAATGTACGTATTTTTATTCTATTGAGTTTACAAGTGTTGTCTTTATTGTATTTTCACAATATATTATGTATTTTTTGGAACTTCCATGGTATGTATGCACCTATGTTGTATTTTGTGGTAATGTATATGTATGGTATGTATGCACATATGTTGTATAATAAAAGTATTGTATTTGTTATTCATTATATTGTATGTATGCACCAATGTTGTATAATAAAAATGTTTGTATTATGTGGTAATGTATTTTCATCGTATTTATGCACCTATGTTGTATAATAAAAGTGTTGTATTTTGTTGTAGTGTATTTTCATAGTATGTATGCACCTATGTTGTGTAATAAAAGTGTCGTATTTTGTGGTAGTGTTTTTTCACAGCATGTATGCACCTATGTTGTATAATAAAAATGTTGTTTTTTTGGTAATGTATTTTAGTATGTATACACCTATGTTGTATAATAAAAGTGGGTCGTTTCCGAAGACACAAATATCCATTAGTATTATGATGGAAATCGGTATGTCGAATTTTGGTTTGTAGGCAGTGGCGGAGGCAGCTCATTTAAGTGGGGTACATGGATCCTACTTGGAAGTGGATCTCACCCTATTTATTACTAAAGACCTCTAAAACATCTTATTTACTAAAAAAAATACCCTCATTGGCATCTACTTTTACAGAAAATAACCCTCATGCATTGACATTTTTTATCGAAAAAAACTCAAAAATACTTTAAATTTTAAAAACTTTATACTTTTATATATTTTTTATATATAATAGACCCCGGTTAGGTTTCGTTCTAGCAAGGGCAGCACAACCTTATATTTTTCTAAGCTAGGGTTTAAGGCCTCAAATTATAAAGGGTCTTATATTCTCCAAACTTAATCTAATATTAATATATCTTAAAACTCAATTAGTCCATTACTAATTAATCGTTAGGTCACATCATAGTGAGCGATCTTGATTCTTGAAGATGAAACGTATGCGGCACGTCAGTGCGATCTTGAAAACTGAAACACTGCATTTATCTTCTATTCTTCTATCTCGATTCTTAATTGTCCAAATCCTCAACGCCAAATGGTAAGTGTTTCGCATATTTTCCAGTTTTTCATTATCTATTAGGGTTAGCCAATTAAGGTTAATTATTTTCAATTTATTCATTGATTATAGAATATATATTTTCAATTGTCAAGTCTTGAATAATTTTGTGTGGATTTTGTGTTTGGAATTTCCAAATTTGGGCTGGAATGAAGTCAAGGAAGAAATCAACGAGTCAAGGGTGTGAAGCAACAAATATTTTCATTACCCTGTGACAACATTTTTTTATGATTGTTATTAAAAATTGTCCTATAAATATTATACCAAGTCAGACATCTTTATCTTGTAATTCAATCAAATAATAAACCGAACGAGAGGCAAATGGCTTTAAAACAAATTGAACTTTTAAGTAGTATTTCAATTTTTTAATCTTCCGCTCTAATAAATGAAGGTTTTTTTTACCACATGTCACACTCTCATTCAATTTGTCAAATGTCATTTTGTGGTTATTTTGAATTATTTTCTTTTCAACATGTTATTTTATGAGTTTTTCTATTTTAATAACTTTTACATAATACTTTAATGTCATAATTACAATAAATATAGTAATAAATGAATATCAATTTCATTAATGGACTTACCTTCTTATTTCAAAATTCTCAAATTAAAGCTAATTAGTTTATTTTTGTTTATTTATTTAAATTTAAAAGATAAAAAAATCAATTTTAATAATTCATTATTTTTCTTATTTTCTTATAAATTTAAAGTTCTTAAATATTTAGATATTTATATTTAATTTTTTTTAATTAACTCATATAATACATGTGTCTTACACCTAATCAAACTAACAAATGCAAATTTTGATACCAAAAATTCCCACAACGCAAGTATGTAATTTCTAAATCAGAGTTTTGAGCTTAAAACATTTACATTCCTTGATATGAGGTCACAGTTATGAATATCTCTCATCTTTCAGTCAAACTACAATGCGAATTCAACTCCATCTCTTTCTCTATATCATAACTTTGTTCTTGAAACAATAACTACATTCTCATTTTAGTATGGTCCCTCATTTCACACACCGACTTTACATTCAATTTCAACCATCAAATTATAACTGGAACAAAATGTTATACCCTAAGCACTTCCATCTAAAATGGGGCAAAACCGGCTTAAATCTTAAAAAAAAAAAATTGTTCCCTGTTCAAGATCATTAAAAAAACACAAGCATAATTGGCTAGTCACTAAACAAAATCAGAAATCACGAAGAAAAATCAGAAATAAGAAATCAAAATCAAATAAACTGATAAATCAAAGATGGGATATTTACAATTTTAACGGTGATGGCTTGCTGCACTACATTCGATATTTCAAGGCTTCAAAGATGGGGTATTTTGCAGACTACGGCGATGGCAACTCCGGCGAAAACAAAAACTGAAGAGGGAGAAAAAGGGGAGGAGTGGCGGAGCAAGCCGATCGAGAGGAAAGCATCAAAGCCTCAAAGGGCACGAAGGGAAAAATAAAGAAAATGACCCGGTCAGCTATGTTTTTTCTTTGGACCCTAGGGATAAACGGACCAAGTAAGGGCCTCAATGCTTTTATCAAACATTCTGATTGTGGACCGAGTCGGTAAAACCTTCTCACTGGACCAGTCAGAACAAATCAAGCAGCCCTTAAGATAAAATAAAATAATGACAGAAAGAATTGTTTCATTGGTCTAGATGGCCACATCTAAACATCACAAAGCTTATCTATGGTCGTATTGGTATCGGTTTTGTTGAGTAAATGAATAAAGTAATGTTAAAAGCAGTGGTGAGTCTAGAATGTATATCCACATGGTTCACTATTTAAATGAAATCGATAAAAACTGGAAAAAATTCAAAAAATACTAGTTGCGGGTATGGATCGGGTCGTATAATCAATTTTTTTAAGTTATTACAACTGTATCCAACAAAGAGGCTGAGGGGGAAAGAGTGGGGAGTGGGTGACTACTAGACATTGTGGCGGAGGGGCTCACAAGGGGCAGCTGTCAGCGGTGGCAGTGGGAAATGACAACCGACACACCTGATCGGTTGATCGTCAATTGTGATGTAGTGCATCCGATTAGGGATGAGCTTTGGAACCGGACCGGTTCGGAACCGGACCGGTTCGGAACCGGAACCGGTTTTCCTATATTATAAGAACCGGGAACCGGACCGCCGGTTCTAGCGCCTGTTCCGGTTCCGGTCCCGGTTTTTCGGTTATTTTTCAAAGTAGAACCGGTTGAAATACTATAGATTATATGCTATCTTCTGAAGCTTGTAAATGATTCAATATTTAACCAAATTATGACTTTTTACATTCTAAATTGAAGTACAAACACTAAATTACATGATGAAAAAAGAATCAAGTAATTCCGACTTCATATGATAGAGTTATGCGCATTTTAAAAGCGGGGACAGATTCCAAAAAAATAAAAAATGCTGAAACAGAAAAAAACGCAGCATTGACATGTTGTCTTCCGGGGTCTATAACTGATTCAATATCTAACCAAAATATGTGTTTTTATAGTCTAAAATGAACTATAAACACCAAATTACATGCTGGAAAAAAATTAAGTAATTCCGACGTCATATGAATGAGTTATACACATTTATAAAATGGGACATATTCAAAAAAACAAAAAAAATAATGCTTAAATAAAAAAAAACGCAACATCGATACGCTTTCTTTCGGGGCATGTGTCTGATTCAATATCTAACCAAAACATATGTTTGTACCGTCAAAAATGAATTACAAACTCCAAATTACATGTTGGAAAAAAAATCAAATAATTTCGACTTCAGATGAGCGAGTTATGCGCATTTTAAAAAATGAAAAAAATGTCAAACCGGTTCCGGTTTTTAGAACCGGGACCGGTTTTCATAAAAATGGAGAACCGGTAACCGGACCTATTACCAATTCTGGTTCCGGTTCCGGTCCGGTTCCGGTTCCGGCGGTTCTAATGCTCATCCCTACACCCGATAGTAATCGGCGATTGTGTAGCGGGAATTGAGGCTTTATGAAGGAAACAACATTGAGACTGAATACTGATTAACGATTATTGTTCCTTTTTACTTTTTCTTTTTTTAATTTAACTTGTAGTGGACTATTTATATTGTATTATACCTTAAAAAATTTGACTTATTATATATATATATATATATATATATATATATATATATATATATATATATATATATATTAAAATTATGAAGAAAAGGAATAGTGAACTTGCCATTTTTTTGGCAGAATTGGTCCTTGTATTATTGTTGGGCTTCAAAGTTAGGAATAGTAAATTTGGTTGTTTTTTGGCAACTTTGCTCCTCATTCTTTACCCATTTTGACACTTTTGGTCGTTGCAATCAATATTTTTACATTTTTTTGGAACCTTTTAATATTTAAAGTTTGGCCACAAAACTTTAACGGTTTGACAACTTTGATCCCTTTTCTAAAAAGTTGTTAATTCCTACCCCTTTAATTCTTTAGCCATTTTGACACTTCTGGTCCTTGCAGTCAAAACTTTTACATTTTTTCATAAAAACAAAGTTACGAAGAAAAGGAATAGTGAACTTGCCATTTTTTTGGCAGAATTGGTCCCTGTATTATTGTTGGGCTTCAAAGTTAGGAATAGTAAATTTTGTTGTTTTTTGGCAACTTTGCTCCTCATTCTTTACCCATTTTGACACTTTTGGTCGTTGCAATCAATATTTTTACACTTTTTTGGAACCTTTTAATATTTAAAGTTTGGCCACAAAACTTTAACGGTTTGACAACTTTGATCCCTTTTCTAAAAAGTTGTTAATTCCTACCCCTTTAATTCTTTAGCCATTTTGACACTTCTGGTCCTTGCAGTCAAAACTTTTACATTTTTTCATAAAAACATGAAAAAAAACGGTCCGGGGCAAAGCCCGGGCTTTTTATCCTTGCACTTTCTATGTCTGTCATATTTATCAATTCGGAAACAACATTGAAAGCTTCTGGCCCCCGCGTAGCGGGGGTAACCTTTCTAGTTAAAATATAGAATATGAGTTGCATTTTGTTTTTTTCTTGTCAAAGATAATAGGTGGTTCATTACATTTATCGAAGATAGGTCATAAATGTAATAATACATAACTTGTTATATATATGAAAAAAAATAGGTGGGTCAAGTGACCCACCTTGGTTATATGTAAATTCGCCTCTGATTAAAAGTAAAAAGAAAAGAACTATCTATTAAATTTGTAAATTTACAAGCAATGTGGAAAGCTTAATCGATGTAAATTTATGTAAATAAATAAGGAATATTTATTTTGAGATTAGTTTTAATGAAAATGAAAAATATCTAATTATTAAAAATAAATTAGAATTTACATTCTCATCCAAAAAGAATGATAAACGGTGGAGCAATGACTTCCTTGATACGTTCATATATATCTACATTCTTAATAAATCTATCTTCTTAGGCTAAAGAGAGTGGTAGCATTCCTAGCATCTTTGTAGCACCTGGTTCTTGGTACGTATTCTTTTATTTAAATCTTTGAGTATTTCGCATGTTTGGCCTTGGACTCGGCGAGTCAAAGGCTCGACTCGCCGAGTAGGAGCGGGAAGGGGCACGGGGTTTAAGTCGCGGACTCGCCGAGTCGGGTCCCGGACTCGGCGAGTAGCCTCTGTCTGGACAAAAACCCTAATCTTAGAGTTTGCACCCTATTTAAACAACCTTATGCAGCCCCCATCGCCCCTTTATGCTTCCAGAAACCCCTCATATCAAACCCCAGCCGTTTTTGAGAAGATCTAAGACTTTTTGAGTGATTCTTGTGAGTTTTGACCTCAAGGAAGAAGGAAGAGCATAGAAGGATCAAGAGGGGACTGAAGGATTCGAGTTTGGTTCATCATTTGCAGTCTTTGGAAGGTATAAAGTCTGAACCTTGCTCATTCATTTGTTAGATCCCTCTTTGAGGTGATTTAGGGATTTTATAAGCCATTTTTGGTGGCCAACCATGTTTGCAAACATGTTTGGGGGTTTGGGCTTCTGTATCATGTCGTTTTATGAGTCACAA